GAGCTGACTCTTGCTTTTCCAGACTGGGACTGTAGAGCCATCTCTGGGTTTACAAATGAACTACATAAGAGTGTGTCTTTTTCAAACCTGAAGGGCTACCTATATTTATTTCTGCTTCCAACAATCATTGTGAATGTCCCAAAAATGAGATGTATAAATTTATAGTTTTATTTATTGAACAAAAGCCAACCTAAATATTTTGCAATCCTACCTATCATAACTTATACCATATAACCAAAACCTACTAGAATACTGGGTTTGTTTTTTTAATTATGTTTAACTCTGCCATTAGCCTAGGCACCAATAAATATCTAGTTGTAATCTCTAAAATCCTTGGAATATTATCCAGTTTATTAATAAGATGTGTTTTGGTTTCCAAAGTACAAACAGCATGAAAAGAAATAGTTATCTCTTTGAAGACTGTTTAGGATACAGTAGTTTACTGGAGTATGCCTGCTGCACGTTACAGTATGTGCAGCCACAGGTAATTGCTGAATGCCAGGTGGGGACCAAAGGTGAAAAAGCAGTCCTGAAATGAACATGGCAGCTTCCTCCACCACATGTGCCATTCATCCCTGGGCACCCCACATATAATACCTCATGAATAATTTCAAATTAAATTTTAAACATTGAAGAAACAATTTATTTAAAAAAATAGTTAAGAGCTATAATTATATGTGTTGCATATTGAATTAGAGTGAGCATAGGCTTCACTCAGGTCCGCCAATCCGGCAGGAAAATACTCAAACTCAAATGGTTTGAGAACCATTTTCACTAAATTTAGAGAAGCCGGACTTAAAGTCAAATGCGAAAAATGTCAAATTACTATGCCTAGGGTAGAATTCCTGGGATACATGATTGACAGGTCCGGGATACATACAAATAAAAGCAAGATGACGGCAATTAAAGATGCATCCGCCCCCAAGAATAAGAAAGAATTGCAAGCATTCCTGGGGTTGCTTAATTTTTATAGCATGTTCCTGGCACAAAAGGCAACTGTGGCGGAACCTCTGCACAGGCTGTTAGGAAAAAAGGCTTCCTAGATCTGGGGTCATATTGAAGCTGCTGTTTTTGACTTTTGTCTTCAGACAGTGTGCTAGTCCATTATAGTGAGACTCTACCATTGGTCCTAACCTGTGATGCCTCCTCTTTCGGTGTTGGGGCCATCCTTAGCCACTAGCTGACCAATGGCCATGAGGCGCCCATTGCCTATTACTATAGGACCCTGTCCTTCGCCGAGCGTAACTACAGCCAGCTGGACAGGGAAATGCTGGCTGTAGTTGCCGGGATCCCGAGGTTCCACGACTACCTGTATGGCAGAGACTTTGTGCTTGTCACCGATCATAAACCCCTCCTGGGTTTATTGGCTGGAGACCGCCCCACTCCTACAATTTTGTCCCACAGAATGACCAGGTGGAATATTTTTCTGGTGGCGTACAGCTACCGGCTGATTCACTGGCCTGGAATGTCCCTGGGTCATGCAGACACTCTCAGCTGCTGCCCGCTGCCTACCCTGGTTGAAGACCCTGCCCCCATTTGACTAGTTCTCCTCATCGAGGACATTGCTATCAGGGTGATCACCGCTGCCGAAATTTCAAAACACTCAGCTAAAGATAGAGACTTAATGCAAATAATGAATTATGTCTGGCGGGTAGCCCACTTCTGGGTACTATACAACCATATTATGTGCATTGTATAATGAACTGTCTGTGTTAAAGGGATGCCTGTTGTGGGGGGAGAGGGTTGTCATACCCCCCCAGATTAAAACATACAGTGCTGGACGTCTTACATGTGGGACATCCTGGAATAGTCAGGATGAAAGCCCTGGCCTGAAGCTATGAAGCTATGCCACCTGCTCACTGTGTCAGGAATCCAGACTGGCACCCCCCCCTCTGCCCTGGCTAAAGAATGGGAAACCCCTAATGCACTGTGGTCCTGCGTGCATTTAGTCTTTGTGGGACCAGTAAAGGGGCAAGACTTTCGAGCCGCTACCCTCCGCTGCAGGGAGATGGAACCGACCAGGTGGTTCCATCCCAGGAGCCTGTCATCGGCTCATCATCCTGAAACTGACGGCGGGACTGAAAAAGTCATTGGAATATTAAAGCAATATCTCTGCTGCTTTGTCAGTCAGCAACAGGACAATTGGACAGAGTACTTAGCAGTCGCGGAGTTTGCTTTTAATAATTCCCAGCACACCTCCACTCAAATTACCCCTTTCCTAGCCAATCTGGGCTATCACCCGCATTTCTTCCCACTCACGCCCCTTGACTCCCTGGTTCCAGCAGTGGATGAATTCTTGACTGAGTTACAGGCCGTTCACCAACTGGTGAAATGATATCTCGACAAGGCCAAGGAAGATTATAAAAGGGTCACGGACCGCTCTCGGCGGGCAACATCACTGTTGGCTCTGGGGGATTACGTGTGGCTGTTGACAAAGCATCTCCCCTCAGACCGGCCGGTCAGAAAACTGGACCATCGTTACATTGGTCCTTTCCCTTTGGAGGCGGTCATCAATCCAGTGGCCTACCACCTGACCTTGCCTCGGTCTTTGAGGATACACTCTGTGTTTCATCGATCCATCCTGGTTCCCGAACGATCCACCTGTCCGCTCCGCCAACTTGATCGTCCCCAGCCGGTGCCCCATGATGGAGATGAACTGCCCAAGTACAAGGTTGCTAGCATTTGAGACTCCCGGTGGATGAAGGGCCGGTTCCAATACTTCATCAAGTGGACGGGGTATGGGCTGGAGGACTTCACATGGGAGGATGCGATCTCTGTTCATGCCCCAGATCTTGTATGCGCCTTTCACGAGCAGTTCCATTACTTAAGCAAAGTATCATTTGGCCATCAGGGATAGCAAAAATTATGCTGGCATATTTTTATACTATCCCAAGGACATGAGGAATGCATATTATTCCTCGTGTCCTTATATTACAAGAGGTCATTTTCCTGTTCCTGTTGCTTCTGCACAGTGATGGCAGGGAGAGATGGCTTGTATTGTGTTTTAATTACTCCACATGAACTAGTGTCTAGTGATCAGAATACAGATAGTCCTCGACTTACAATCATTCCTTTAGCAACTGTTTGAAGTTACAAAGACTCGGAAAAAAGTAATCTATAACTAGTTTTTACACTTACGACCATTGCAGCCAGTGGAGGAATTCAATTTTTTTTACTACCAGTTCTGTGGGAGTGGCTTGGTGGGCGTGGCAGGGGAAGGATACTGCAAAATCTCCATCCCACCCCACTCCAGGGGAAGGATACTGCAAAATCCCCACTCCCTCCTCACTCCTGGGGGAAGGATATTGCAAAATCTCCATTCCCATCCCACTCTGGGGCCAATCAGAGGTGGTATTTGCCGGTTCTCCGAACTACTCAAAATTTCCGCTACCGGTTCTTTGAACCTGCTGAATAGCACCCGATTGCAGCATCCCCACAGTCATGTGATCAAAATCTGGGCACTTGGTAAGGTGTGTATTTATTATGATTGCAGAATCCCAGGTTCATGTTGTCACCATTTGTAACCATTGCATCTGGCTTCTGACAAGCAAAATCAATGGGGGAAGCCAGATTCACTGTGTGATTCACTTAACTGCAGTAAGTCACTAAACAACTGTGGCAAAAAAGTCATAAAATCAGGCACAACTCACTTAACAACTGTCTTGCTTACCAATGGATATTCTGGATCCAAGTGTGATCATAAATTGAAAACTACCTATACAGAGGATCTATAGGAGTTAACAGACTCAACCTGTCAAAAGGAACTGGACAGGTGTAAGCCTTGATAGTGCCATTATGAAAATCATAAATAAAGTGTCATTATTTTCTGTTGGAAAATATTACTTTAAAACTGAAGACAAAATCTATATGTTGAGGCCATATCAACTAAAAATGGTTAAAATAATTGAATCACAGGGGGCCAGATGAAACAGCTCTAAAATATAAATCAACAATTAATTTTTAATTTAGTCTAAAAATGAACATATTCTATTAGTAGCATGGTCTGAAGGGCACATAGTGAAACCCCTCACACGACTATAGAATCTCTTCCTAGGTAAATGGGATTGCAGTCTAAATCATTAACTCAGGATGAAATGAGCTTGGTAAATTTCCTATACAACAGTTTATTAATGGAAGATTATCAACATGTGCTTGGGAAATAGAACTTTGGTCAAAAAGCAGAAGTTGAATAGCTATATATGGTGGATATAAACAGATGGTTCTTAAGAGTATTTAGAGCAGATGCGTCACACACAGGCCACGCCCGCCACAGCTCTGCAAAAGGGAAAAAATTGCTGCAAAACATCACGTAATGGCAACGTGATGCCACAAGTTTAATACCCGTGATTTAGAGCAAAAGAAAGTAGTTTATAATTTAAAAATCCAGGATTGCTTTGTCTTTTTTTTTTTTTTATAGAGGCATTGTATGAAAATTAATTCATTCTTCCTTATACAGGCTGAAGCTGAATACCAAACCTTTAAAAATGACTACTTGGTACTCTTTCTGAGTTTTTCTTGGTTTTCTTAAAGGGCTGGCTTGAGTCTCTTGGCACTGTTTTCTGAGATTTCTGGTGCTGAGAGGTTTCTGGCACTGTCCTTTTGGGGTGTACTTCCCGCACCATGTTGCTCAGTTTGTGTCTGGGTGTTTTATCCTTGCAGTGGACAAGCTTCTGCCTTAGTGAGACATGTGCAGATCTGTAAGTTGGGGAAACAAAACTACCACTTCATAAATACATGGCACAACATAGGAGAACAAACCCATCAGGAGACTAGAGTCAGAAGTCCATCTGCATTTAAAAGACAAAGGACACTCTTTTGAAGACCACGAAGTCCATATTTTGGGCAGACAGGACCACTGGTTTGAAAGATAAGAATCTTCTTGGATGAGAATCGAAACATCTTCAAAGAAAAACAAGAAAGTCCAGTTGTCTCTTGAAAAAACACCTTTAGGACTATTAATATAATATTGAAGAAGAACCACATCAATTCTTATCGGTCTCAATATTTAATTTTTTTACTGTAGCAGTAAAATTTATTTACTTAGTTACTTTAAAAGAAAACAGGAATAATACATTCCTTTTTAAAAAGTTTTGACAGATTAGTTCAATTATAGTAACTAGGAAAGGAGATGTTATATAAATTATTGAAACAAATTGTGGCTGGAATGCATAATGCAGTTCTGTATACTTAAATACAATTACCTTTACTAAAAAGAAATACTGTATATTTGATAAACAGTTCCAAGTGTTTCAGAATACATTCAATGTATTTATTATAGTTTACTAGGAACCAGCAGGTGCTTCAGAGTAAACAAGGACAAGAATGCCACCTTTGTTGATGCCAATCTAAAGAGACCGTTCCATCACTGAAGGCTTTCAAGAAGAGACTGGATAACCATTGTCTGAAATGATATAGGGCCGTAATGGCGAACCTATGGCATGCATGCTCCAGGTTGCACGCAGAGCCCTCCCTGCAGCCACACGAGCTGTCACCCCAGCTCAGCTCAGCTCTGCTGTGCATGTGCGCATGCCTCCTGCTGGCCAGCTGGTTTTCGGCTTTCAGTTTAACATTTTTATTGAGTTATAAGATAAAATAAGATACAAAATACAAAATACAAAAGTAACTAGGAATACAGTGGGGAGGGAAGAGGGGGAGGAGAAGTGAGGCAGGGTAGGGGAAAAAAGAAAAACTGACTACCGACTCCCTCTGTTGCAGTAAAATAAAGCATTAACATCAAATCACAACTTTTTATTTTTCATAATAATATAAACAAGCCATTCCTATAATGATTGTTCAGTCTAATCGGTGTAACCCAAAATCAAAGTTTCATTCTTTTCCACTTCAAGCACGAAGTGCAGAAGCGGCGTCCATGTGGAAACAAAAGTACTTATATTCTTTTCTTTAATCAAAATAGTCAATTTTGCCATTTCAGCCAACTCCATCAACTTCTGCAACCATCCGTCCATGGGAGGAATTGAAGTGTCCTTCCATTCTTTGTGCATACAAAAGTCTTGCTGCTGTCAACATATATAGTAACAGGTTTTTTTTTTTTTGAGACTTCCATCAATCTTGTGATAACCCCTTTGGGTTGTCACAATTCTTTTTTTTTTTTTAAAGAGTTTTACAGAAAGAAAAAAAAAACAAATTTTTTTTTACAAGTATTTCCCCATCCCTGCCCCCCTTCCTTCACCCCCCCCCGAACTTCCCAGAACAAAATACAGGGTATACAATTGACAATCATATGCTAAACTAAGCTAATAAACTAAGGATTCCTATCCCCGCTTCACACTTTAACTGGTTTCGGCTTATTGCCGTGCATACATGGGAGCGGGGCGCATGCGGGAGACACGTGCACATGTGCGGGGCGCATGCGGAGGTCACATGTGCATGCATGGGGTCACGTGCGTGGAGTGGGATGCATGTAGGGGTTGTGCGCACGTGCACAGGAGCCAAAGCGCATGCGGGGTTATGTGCATATGCACGGGGCGGGGTGCGTGGAGGAGTCATGTGCGCATTGCATTGCATGTGCGCGCATGCATGTGCATGCTTTGGGCACTTGGTGCCGAAAAGGTTAGCCATCACTGATATAGGGTCTCCTGCTCGAGCATGGGGTTGGACTAGAAGACCTTGAGCTTCCTTCCAACTCTATTATACTATATTCTATGTTATCTCTTTTCTTGGGACTCATACAGTAACCAAATGTTGTCAGAAAATACACATAGGAGGCATAGATAGGGTGTGCCAAAGTTCTTGGGAGTGAGTGCTGGTGGATGTTGGTCCTTGTTTAACTAAAAATTACATGTTTTACTTGAATAGTGCAGTTATTGGACAGGTCCTGGAAAAGACTGAGCTCCTTTAATGAGGCATCCATGGGGATGCCCAGGGCCACTTCTATGCTGTAATATAAAACCAAAGCACTGCACATCCTGTAGATGTCCTATTTAAAAATGTAGGATTTATTCCTGACAGCAGTGAAATGCAGTTTGTACACTTTCTTTGATGATTAACCTTTAACTTAGTGGCGATAAAAGCAGCAAAGTGTAACTACTTTTCTGCTCTTATTGCATCGGCAGATAACCGCCCAGCCGCCTTGTTTAGGGTGACTCGCTCCCTCCTACATCAGGGAGCGCAGGAAGACCCCTTGCAAGGGCAGGCTGAGGATTTTGCACAGTATCTACACGATAAAATCGCTCAGATTTGGGAAGGCTTGGACTCTGACTGGGTAGATCCTGGCGGGGTGACTGAGGCTGGTCTTGAGAATGTTATCTGGGATGAGTTCGACCCTGTGACTCCTGAGGACATGGACAGGATCCTGGGGAGGTTAAACGCAACCACGTTTATTGGACCCGTGCCCCTCCTGGCTGGTACTGGCCATCCGGGAGGTAACACAAGGCTGGCTCCAGAGGATTATAAATGCTTCTTTGAGAGAGGGTTTCTTGCCTCCCACCTTGAAAGAGGCGGTGGTGAGACCCCTCCTCAAGAAGCCTTCTCTGGACCCGGCTGTTTTGGCAAACTACCGTCCGGTCTCCAACCTTCGCTTTGTTGCGAAGGTTGTGGAGAGTGTGGTTGCGTGACAGCTCCCACAGTACCTGGATGAAACCGTCTATCTAGATCCATGCCAGTCCGGCTTCAGGCCTGGGTACAGCACGGAGATGGCATTGGTCGCATTGGTGGATGATCTCTGGAGGGCTCGGGACAGGGGTTGTTCCTAAGTTCTGGTCCTGTTAGACCTCTCAGCAGCTTTTGATACCATCGAACATGGTATCATGCTGCGCCGGCTGGGGGGATTGGGGGTGGGAGGCACCGTGTTGTGGTGGTTCTCCTCCTATCTCTCTGACCGGTCGCAGTCCGTGTTGGCAGGGGGGCAGAGGTTGACCTCGAGGTGCCTTGCTTGCGGGCTGCCACAAGGGTCGGTCCTCTCGCCACTCCTGTTCAACATTTATGTGAAGCCGCTGGGTGAGATCATCTGTGGTTTTGGGGTGCGATGCCATCTGTACGCTGATGACATTCAGCTGTACATCTCCACCCCAGACCACCCCAATGATGCCCTTGAAGTGATGTCCCAGTGTCTGGAGGCCGTGCGGGTCTGGATGAGGAGGAACAGGCTCCGACTCAACCCTTCCAAGACCGAGTGGCTGTGGATACCGGTGTCCCGATATAGCCAGCTGGTGCCATCGCTGGCTATTGGGGGCGAGTCACTGACCCCCACAGAGGGGGCTCGCAACTTGGGTGTCCTCCTGGACACACGGTTGTCTTTAGAAGAGCATATGATGGCCGTGGCAAGGGGGCTTTTTATCAGGTCCACCTGATACGCCAGTTGTGCTCCTTTCTGGATCGGGACTCCTTGTGCACGGTCACTCATGCCCTCGTCACGCCACGCCTGGACTACTGCAATACTCTCTATATGGGGCTCCCCTTGAGGAGCACCCGGAGGCTCCAGCTAGTGCAGAATGCAGCCGCGTGGGTGATTATGGGAGCAACGTGGCGCTCCCATGTAACACCACTCCTGCGCGAGCTGCATTGGCTCCCGGTGGTCTTCCGGGTGCGCTTTAAGGTATTGGTTCTCATCTTTAAAGCGCTCCATGGCCAGGGCCGGATTTAGATGAAAAGAGGCCCTAGGCTATTTCACTTATGAGGCCCTTTCACCAGTGGTGGGATTCAATTTTTTTAACAACAGGTTCTGTGGGCGTGGCTTAGTTGGGGGTGTGGCTTGGCAATCATGTGACTGTGGGCGTGGCTAGCTGGCCACGTGACTGTGTAGGCATGGGTAGCTCGTCATGTGACCAGGTGGGCGTGGCTATGTGCATAGGGACTACTCAGAGGGCTGAAAAAAGTCATTTCTGACTGGGCCTCGCACTTTTGACCGGTCCTCACACTTATGACCATCCTCACATTTATGCCTGTGCAGCTTTCTTAACAACCATGTCACTCATTTCACAACTGCTTCTCTTCACCATGGTGACAAGATAGGGCAAAAACGTAAAATGTGAGGACAGTCGTAAGTTCGAGGACTGGTCGAAAGTGCGAGGACCAGTCAAAAATAACTTTTTCAGCCCTCTGAGTAGTCCATATGCACAAAAGGACTACCCAGAGGGCTGAAAAAAGTGATTTCTGACAGGTCCTCGCACTTTTGACCGGTCTTCGCACTTATGACTGGTCATCATTTATGCCCATTGTAGCATTCTTAACAACCATGTCACTCATTTCACAACTGCTTCTCTTCACCATGGTGACAAGATAGGGCAAAAACGTAAAATGTGAGGACAGTCGTAAGTTCGAGGACTGGTCAAAAGTGCGAGGACCAGTCAGAAATAACTTTTTCAGCCCTCTGAGTAGTCCATATGCATAAAAGGATACAGCAATAGAGAGGGATGAAGGAAGGGAAGGGAAATTAGAGTAGGAGTGAGGGTAAGAGAGGGAGGAAGAGAGGAGGAGAAGGAGAAAGGAAGAGGAAGTAGGGAGGAGAAGAAGAGGGGGAGGAAGAAAAAGTAAGAAGGAAAGAAAAGAGAGAGGTGGTAGATTTGAGGAGAAAGATTGCTGTACAATAAAAAAGATGAAAGGGAAGAAAGCCAACCCCAAACAAATATAAAGATATTAAGATAAAGAATGAATTGTTAAACTTTAAAGAATAAAAGAGAACAAATATAAATAAATAACAATAATTAGAAACACACATACAAACATACAATGTATTTTCTTTGAACAGAGTATTTGGCCAGTTCACAAATTTAAACAGTGTTTAGTCATTTCAATTAAATTTACAATTTCTATATTTCCTTTTTGCCATATTTATTCCTCATCTATTTTTGTAAAAAATCAATATTACCCTTCATCCTCATCTCTAATCTTAATCAAATTCAATTTTTCCCTTCTATTCTATATTATACCCCTTCCCATTGTCACCTATTTTTATATCCATCCTCACATTGGTTAATTATGTAATATTACAGTTGTTTAATATAAATTCAACATTTTAATATAAATCAATTAGTTATATAACTATCTTTTTTGTATATTAATCAATATGAACATGAATATTCCAATTATTTCCATGCAATCCAATTTCTTACAAATCAATTATATTTACCAATAATAAACCAAATAATTTCCCCCATATATTCCTCCAAACCACAACTTAACCATTTCTGCTTTCAGAAATATACAATTAATAGTATCTCAATTATTACAATTCCCTAGTTAAATAGAGCTTTTTTTCGTTTGTGTTTTAAAATCCTGAACTCTCCTCTTTTTCCCTAAATTTCCCATTGTTTGCACCTACCTTTTTTGGTGAGGAAAAAGAAAAGAATTTCCTCTAGCCATCGGAGGCAGCAATAGATTGGGAGTGGGCAGGGTAACGAATGGCCGGCGATCCAACAGAGCAGAGAGTGAGGGTGAGTGAAGGCGTGAAGACAGCCAAGCTGTCTCAGGAATTCTGGAAGTTGAAGTCCACAGGTTGTAAAAGAGCCACAATTGCCTACCCCTGGGTACGGTACGCTGGCGCCGCGCGGGTGGGAGGCGAGGGGCGGGCGAGCCAGCAATTTAACAAAGGGTTCGGCCGAACTCCCTAGAACCCCCAGAATCCCACCACTGTGTAGGCCCCCCTTGATCTTGAGGCCCTAGGTTGAAGCCTAGTTAGCCTATAGGAAAATCCGGCCCTGTCCGTGGCTTAGGGCCAGGATATTTGCGAGACCGCCTGATGCTACCGATAACCTCCCAGCGGCCAATACGCTCTCACAGAGAGGGCCTCCTCAGGTGCCGTCGGTCAGGCAATGTCGGCTGGTGACCCCCAGGGGGAGAGCCTTCTCTGTGGGGGCACCCGCCCTGTGGAACGAGCTGCTCCTGGAATACGGCTGATCCCGGACCTCCGTTCCTTCCGTAAGACCCTGAAGACTTATTTTTCCACCAAGCCGGCCTAGCCTAATTGGCTCTTAATTGGGATTTTAAATTTTATGGACTTGGGGGTTTTAAATTGGGAAAATTTTAAATTGGGAAGCCAATGATTTAATTCTTTTTAATTATCTTTTGTATTTGTATGTTTTTTAATTTTGGCTGTTCACCGCCCTGAGTCCCTTCTGGGAGAAGGGCGGTATACAAATTAAATAAATAAATAAATAAATAAATAAATAACTACTTTTAAGATTTCTAATATATCTGGAGATAGAAAGCTACATCCATATATATTCCTTTGTTGCCTTCTTTTCCTAACTAAAGCCTCTTCGTCATAGGCCAATGCCTATCATTGCAGTTCTTTTTTAAGAAATTATCTTCTACTCTCCAGAAAAAAAAAATACAAGTTACCTCAGTCCAAGCTAATATAGTTAAATGAAAATACTAGATGGTGTTATTAATTTTTTTCCATTACTGACAGAGTTTTGACTGGTGACTATTTTTGACTGTCAACAAGTCAAAGGGAGAAAAAGTAGCAGGGAAATAACAAATCTAGGGCATGCTGCAGACCCATCTATGAAAAGTTCCATATAATATAATTTCCATATAACAACATGATGTGACCTAGGAGGTAAGACGTTTCTGCTGGGCATCTTCCCATCATCACTCTTGAAGTGGGATTAGCCCCATACTTAGTTGCCTTCCGGAAAGCCCTTAAAAAGTGTCTTTTTTTCAACAGACCTGGGGAACCCCTGGAAGTCCACATGTTGCCTGTATTATGTATTATCTCCTGCTTGTGATTTTATCTGTTTAGTGTTTAATTGGTTTTGTAGTAAGCTTTATTGTACAATACCCAGAGTCGCTTTATGTAAGATGGGTGGCTAAATAAGTTTGACAAGTTAATAAAATACTCACTGATCAAGGTTTTGCAGTAGAAATGAGAATCCAACTCCAAAATTCTGAGTTCTGTAGCTAGTTTTTCTATTTCTCCTTCTATACCCCAACTGGGTAGTTCTCAGGTTTGAAATAATGTGAATAAGTGAAGTCACCCTGGCCAAAACAATCCAGAAAGGAGGCAAGCTTCTTTCACAGATTGGAGAATTGACAATGTGTGGTATCTGGAAAACCACTCCTACTTCAAGAGGAAGAGGGCAAGGAACTGAAACAGAGAAAAACTGTTAAGTGGTATACAGGTAAACACACACAAACACAGAGTCCTGCCTTAGGCACAAAGCCAGAGCTGTGCCCTTGGGTCAAGTTATTCTTTTTCAGCCTAAGGAGGAGGAAGCTGTAACTCACTTCTGAAATCTGTTCCCAAGAATCAACAATGACTTGAAGGCGTGCTCATGCATGCATGCACGCACGCAAACTCATACTCAAAGACCGAAAATAAAATTGTAATAATAAAAATTCTAACAAGAAGGAATTGTGGATGCCCTAGGATGGAGGCTGGCTAATGAATCAAAGGAAGGGGTCATGCCCCCCAAAATTCTCCAGCACATCTCTTCTGCCAGCTACAAGAAGTCAAAGGTGCACCTCCAATGCAATGGGTAACAAATTATAACAGATTTTACACATCTTGAGGCAGTTTGCCAGAACAAAGTACATCCACTACCTGTGGTCAACCTGTTTCACTCAAGGGCAAGATGTGATAAGACCCCTGTCACGGGTATAAGTGTCTATGGTCAAGGCATCATTGTGTTCTAGTTAGGTGCAAGTGAAGATAGGGCCTCAGCTATAATGCAATTTATTAGTCTTGGCTTAGAACATTATGTGATCTGTGGTTTCTTTCATCACAGTTAAGCAGATTCCATGGGAACCACAAGGTCTGAACTAAGCCCCAGTCTGCTTCTGCTCTGACTTAATGTACTTCAGCACAGCCATACTGTGAAAACGCCATGCAAGTTATGCTTGGGCGGAAGACTTTCTTTTACAGCGCCATTTATAATGGGGCCGGTTGGCAGGCTAGTACTCAAGAAAAAAAAAGTGAGAACAGGCGTCCAGTAGCTAGCTTGAACTTTGAACGACTTCTCTGTGTCGCCGGCGGTGCCGCCACCGCCTCCTAGGAGGAGCAAACGACATCCAGCATTGCAACCAGGCGTCCCGGACTGGCCATTCTAGGGCTTCCTGCACCGGTTGACTTAGGCGTCGGCGACCTCCTGTTGTCGCCTGAAAGGGGGCGAAAAAAAGGGCGGGAGAGACCCCTTCTTTCTCCTCCGACCTAGAGACTCAGGGCACAGCAGGAGGAAAGGAGTTATGTCGGACCGTCGACTCTGAATGAATTTTAGGGAGGGGGGATAGACTTAGGGCTATCCCCCTTAAAATTATTTAGGGAGAAGCGTTGTATTAAGACCATAGATGGCTGCGTAAGGAGAGCTGAAGGGAGGCGAATTCGGGGTGGAGCAGAAAACACCGGGGGTGGGGGGGCGGGGGGGAGGAAAGGCGTTAGGAAATAAGCGTCGAGGTACAGGGTGGCTTGCAAGGGACTCCCGGGAGTTCCGCAATTCTTTTTCCTCTCTCTCTCTTCTGCGCGAGCCAAACTTTTGTGGCGTAAAACTGAAACCAGGTGCTCTTGTGAGGTGGCGCAAGAGCTCCTTGGGAGAGGCGAGGACAAGCTTGGCGTTTCCTCTCTCCCAACCCCCTTCCTCTTTTCCCCCCCTTTCCCCGGCCTGCCTGGGATCTTAGCTCGCGGCTCCTTGGCTTTTCTTTGCCTTTCTTCCGCCCGCCCCGTTCCGTGAGCTGGAGCGCCGAGGAGGTACGGCAGAAACACGTGAAAGCGAGAAGTAAAAAACAAACCAAACGCGGAGTTCCAGCCAGTAGAGGCTTGGCAGCGGGGCTGCCGAGGAATAGGAGGGCGCAAAACCGAGGGGAAGAAGGTGGCAGTTTTCCTCCCGAAGGGGCTCTTTTTCCCCACCCCTTTCTCTGGGTTCGTGGGGGAGTCTCTCGTCTGCGACGCTGACAGGTGCTCCTTCGAGCCCGCCGCGAGCTCTCTCGCCCCCTTCGCTTCTCCCCCCGCTTTCGTGAGGATTGTGGCGCCCTTGGGAAGCCGATCATGCTTTGAACCTTAGGAGAGGAGGAGGGAGAAAACCCTGGAGACAGAGGAAAGAAAGACTGTAGCCGAGGAAAAAGTTTTGGATGGTATTATGTGGAAACTACCCTGCTCTTCTCCGCTGCCCAAGCAGGCTCGCTGCTGCTGCTGGTCTCTCCCCAGCGGTGCAGCCTTCGCGGGCTGGTGGAGGTGGTGAGAACGACGACGCGGGGACTACTTGAGCTGTCTGCAAGGACTTGGTGCGTGTCTTGTGCGTTAGAGAGTTCCCACCCCAGCCTACCAAATGTTCCTCTTCGGGGTCTTCTCGCTGACACTTGTTCTGGTCAGCCAAAGACCGGGAGTCCACGCCGAATCCAATCTGAGCAGCAAGTTCCAGTTCTCCAGCGCTAAAGAGCAAAACGGTAAGAAGTCTTTCTGCGTGGGTTTGTGTGTTTTGTGCCGTCTCGGAAGGTACACAAAAGAGTCGGAGCAATCCGTGCTGGGGAAGGAGGAGTCGCTGAGACAGGAAGGATTTTCCTTCTCTTCTGCTTTTACAGAGCCTCAGGGGTTGGGCTGTTGGTGGAGCTTCTGGGTGATTTTTAAAGGCTGGGGTTTCAGCCTGCGAAACCCCAGCCTCTGTCAGCCCCGGGCGGGCACTTCTGTAAAGATCTCCGTTGAAACGCGCAACCTGGGAGGGATAAAAATCGCTCCCTTCGCCAGAGTGAGCCTTAAAGATTGAAGCTAAAATGAATGGAACTTGGCAGGTCCGGCTTCACGGTGTGTTTGGTCACTCCAGGAAACTTGTCAGGCTCGTAAACTGAAACGGGATAGCTAAAAGGGCATCAATTAAGAAGCCAGAAATAGGAAATACATTAGGTCTCTTTCTTTCTCCCCTTCCCTCATTCTGAGTTTTTGCATTGGGGGTGGGGGTGTTATGATGTGTCTGATCTAATCACCCATTTTGTCGCCTCCATAAGTTTGGCACTGTGTAGTGTAGGTTAATGGAGGATGAGCTCTGTTTTCAACATGCTGGAAACAAGCTGAAATGCATAGGAACTGTGAATCACTTCAAAAAAAAAGGTTTCAAGTGTACCTGAAATGTTTAGAAACTCTCAAATTAGGCTCCCTTGGGTTGGGCTGGTCTTGGAGAAAGACTCCTTTCATGCAGAGGGCAGATTCTGGGTGTGTAATTTGCTTAGCCTCCGAATGCCATATGATTTACATTATTTAGATTTTTAAAGAGTTTTCTCTTTGATCTTCTATTACAAAGTCATTTAAAGGAACACTTTGCAAACAAATATTATATGCCACATGAAACCACATCATGAATATAGGCTGCCTAAATTTAGGCTATTAAACACTGTTTTCCAGTGGTGGATGCTAATGTAAGGGAAAAATGTTTTAGTAGTTTCCTTCTGAGCCAGAAAGATGTGATTTCATCTATACACAAACAGGCAAAAATAAGAGGCAAAAATAAATAAATAAATCTTAAAATTGCAGTAGGAAAAAATGAATACAGTACTGAATGAAGGTCTGCTCTGAACACATTAGGACACTAGAGCCCTGTATTTTCTGAAAAAAATACATCTTATTATATATTAAATATTTTCTGGCAGAGAAAGAGAAATAGGCTGCTCCTTTTGATGGAAGTTTCTGCAACTGAATGCAGCAAAAGAGTTTCATATTATTAGCAGATGGCACCTGCAGACATCAAAAGACTATTGGTCAAAAACCAGTTCAATCCCTAGCTAGGGTATTGCAGAAGTCTGGGGAAACTGATGAAAAGAATCAGGAACTGACATCTATATCTATTGAAAATTGACCACAGTAACATCTGTCACATCTGTTCGTAACCAGAGGAAGGTACCTATCTTCTGTGTTTCTTTCATCTGTTAAATTTGTGGAAGGGAGGAACAGTAGTTTTGTTTTGGGGATGAAGATTAGAATTTCATCATATGTCTGTTATAAACAATTACTGGAATACATGTCTGAAACTCTAATCCTACTAACTGAATTTAATAGTTGGTGCAACTCTTGGATGGAACAGTCATTGTCATCTGTATCCTTGTCACATTTCACACAAAACAGGGACTATTGTTGATTTAATTTGTAACCTGTAATTTTCTAGGAATCTAGAAAAACTTTTTGCATGTGTGTACTTATGCTGTTGTGTCACATACAAGTGTCTTATCAGGAATGAAGGAATGATCAAACTATTTTAAAGAACTACTGTGGTTTAAATGCATTAACAAATATATTAGGCTATATACAAACATTAAGTCATACTGTGGTTTTGTTCTGCATGGAACAGCCACTGTGATTTGTAAATCGTGAATAGTGATTTAATGTTGTATGAACCTAGCAGCCAATTGTATGAGTTTTGTACAGTAATGCTAATCTACAGTTAATTTAACTATAATTTACTAAATCTGATTGCACTTCACATTGTAGTATAAATTAACCTCACTGATTTGCTTTACACAACAGATTAAGCCACAGATCACACAACTACTTTTTAATTCATCCAGTTTTAACAAACTGCCAGTCATTAGAATAGCATTGCTCTGGGTAGTGATTTTCAGTTGATATGAAATTTAATTTTGTTCAGGTACAAATTCTGTTTGTATAATTAAATATGGGAATGCAATTATTTTACCAGAGGTTTGGCAGGATTTTCTTAAATTTTAAGATAAATAATGAAAAAACAACATTAATCCCATTTTATAATTATACTGCTTGTCAGTCAAGTTGTGTACCTGCATTGCATATTTCTTTTATTACTGTCCTGTTTGTCTTCACTAGAGATGTGCTGTATTACAGTCCAAGCAGAAAATGTGCTTTGAAGAGAGGTGGACACAGTATATCTGTATACTGTGTATACAGTATATCTTCTTAAAAAAACCTGCCTCTTTTCTGGTCACAGATGGTATTAATGGAATCTCAGAAAAATATGTGTTATGTAGGATAAGGAGGTGCTGAAAGTGTACCTATGTCCACTCTGCAATCTTGCTGCAATTTGCTGGTGCTTCCTTAATCCCAGATATAGTATGGAATATGGGAACATAGGGCTACTATGTGACAGGTGTGGTATGCATGCCCACATTCCTTCAAAGCCCTTTTTATGCTTTGTATCTAAAGTGCTGCATATCCCTACTTATCACATCTAAAATTCAAAGAAAAATTGTGTATCCAATATGATATACATAAGATATAGTGTGGTGAGATGATTAAGATACTGGATTAAGAGCTGGAAGACCCAGTTTCTAAATCCACTCTCAGCCATGCGAGCTTACAGCCTGTTCAAGTGCTACATACACTGCCTTAAATTCCTGAATGAAAAGTGGGATATAAAATAAATATGTATGGAATTTCATTCATTCTGGCTGAGCTAGTTTTAACCTGCTCTAATTAGAATGATGTTTTCGGTCTGCTGCATACAGTATTAACCATTTTTATGTGTGAATCAGGAACATGATACACATCACGCAATTGCCAGTAAAAAGGTTTTCTATGGGGAACACATTTATGTACTGTATATAGTTATACAGTAATAGTAATGTCAGATTTACTTATTTAATGATTTAGGGCCTTCTAGTTCAGTTCTTTCCTTCTTTACTTGGAAGCGCACTCTACTGAATTTGTGGCATTTTTTTCTGGAGAAAGTATGCCCAGAATGAAAGCTATAAGTCAGATCTTAACCATAGGACTTAATAGTAGATATCCATGGCACATGGAAAGCTATCAAATGAAACTGCTTCACCTTGGCATTGCTGAGAGTGATTGAATTCAGCAGGCCTCTTCTGAATGATGTGGTTTTGCTTTGTCTGTTGTCCAGTTTTTGTTTTCATCATTGAATGTTATTGTTCTGTATGTTTTTTTCAGTGAACTGCCCATAGTTGCTGGGAATGGACTATGTAAATATTTAATATATAAATTAAGTAAGTAAGATTAATTTAGTTACCCAAGCAGAGGCTTTTTATATTGTCTATTGCAGCCTTTTAACTGAAGGTGTCCGTACTGTTTGAGCTGACTTTTTCCCCCAAAACCTTTTCTCTCCTACACAATACTGTTCATAACTCTCTGGAATATTTAAAAGTGTTTGCAAGTATTATCTTTACAGAAACACTGTTAAAAAAAGATGAATACACTGCTATACCAGGACCATGCAACAATGTACATTTAAAAAGGAAATTATGATTTGGAAAGTGCATAAGCTTTTTTCTTTTGACTCTAATTGCAGCATGTTGCTATTTTATCCTGGTTTTCAAAGTGTGTATGTGTTTTAAAAAAATAAGGCTTAACATTTCTGTGGAATAAAACATGACTGTTCTGTTTTACTTCCCTGCTGTCTCACCTATCTATAAGATAATTTAGAAACATCTTATTTGGCAAGTCATAGTTTAAGAACTTCATGTTTATTTATTTATTTATTGGTTCGATTTATATGCCGCCCTTTTCCGGAGACTCAGGGTGGCTTATAATGCGTTAAGCAATAGCTTCATACTTTTGTATATACCTGCTTAGTAGGGCTTTTGACCCCCCCCCCAGTGGTGTTCTTTTTTATACAAAGCTTATTGCCCCCACAATCCGGGTCCTCATTTTACCTACCTCAAAAGAATGGAAGGCTGAGTCAACCTTGAGCCTGGTGAGATTTGAATTTGCAGTAATTGCAGGTAGCTAGTGTTACTTAACAGTGCTTTAGTCTGCTGCTAAATGTTAGTGGTCCTATACCTATAAAACTCTCTGCCTAAGAAATGAATATGTTGAAGAAACAATATAAAATATATTATTCTCCTAGCCGGCTGCAGAGTGGTTTAGGAATGGGTTAATACAGTCTGATTTGCCAGGAGACTGAGTCATAACTTTGTGGCCACGCCTCCATGTCTCTCCATCAGGCCCCAGTTTTCGACTCAGTCATCTGACAGAGACATCTTTGGCAGTTGCTCTTCATTTAAACTATTCCTGAATCAATTTACAGGTTTTTATAATTCTATTTCTCATAATTTCAGGTTTACGTGCTGGCCACATCAGTCTAGGCTGATAAAGCCGCCACTGTCTCTGAAGGGGGGGAGCCCCTGGGGCCCCAGGCCTTACTAGACCTTGTCTTGCATTGAAGACTATTCCCTCCACCCCTGCCACAACCAGCTCCCACCAATGCAGCTGCTCCCACCAACGCAGCACTATCACCACCGCAGCTGCTTCTCTGAACATGCAGTGAAGATCTCAGCTGGGTGGCAGCCCTTAGATCCACCGCCGCCAGCTTCGCTCCAAGATAGCAATTTGCTGCTGCTACCACTGCCGCCACTGCCACAGCACGCTCGGTGTGAGTTGGGTTTTTTGGCCAGAGGCTCTCAGCTGAGAGGTGCTCCGCTGCTGCTGCCAC